TTGTGAGGAGGGCCCGGGGAGCGGTACGCTGGATCCGACCCAAGGTTTCTCCTGTCGCCACAGAGGTCCGCGTGGCGCCTTCAGAAAAGCCATGAGCGTCATTGTAATAGCACCTTTTCATAATGTCCCTTCATCAGCTGGGCATGCACTGAAAAAGTACGACGATTGGTAGTTATGTTCGCTTACACTGCGTGAATTTATCAAAAAAATTTCTATAGCTGCCCAAGTTGGTCGTTGGTATACTGGGTGGTAGCAAATTCCATAATTTAAGTGTATCTCGAAATTCTGTTGCCTATTGAACATTATGATCTTACATCATTTTCCATAACACAGTGACCTAGGGCTGTCTACTAACAATGATTAGTCTGCAGTGACTTTATTGTTTTTTACCTTTATGGCCTTTACAATATAAGAAAAAAAATTCCGAGTTATGCAGGTGATTATAGCAGTTTGTTGAGATACTTCTCAACAATCCAGTTATGGCATCCTTTGAAACAAACGTCCAGACTCTCTGCTTATACTGACAGCAATGCTACCGCATATGTGGTGAATAACAATATCTGTGAGCAATCCTAATGCTGCTTCCACAGAGGTACAGGTGGGGTACAACTGGATGATAGGTGACAAAAATCTTTCTCTAGATATGACCTTGTATGATTAACTTGAAGTTGAGAATGTCAAATAGAGAATTGTAACCCAACAATGGTTAGCATCAGAATCAAAGATCCAATTTGAAACAGCATGAGAACTGAGAAAAAGAAACATTTACATAGAGAGACTGTAAGCCTTTAACTTATGACAACACTGCTGCATCCAGCCTCCAGTCCACAGTTGCTCCATGCAGTAACACTTAGTCAAAAATTCATCCTCCTAATCATTTACTCTATGCCAGTATCTTCGTTCGTTTAGTCATTCAGTCGTGTCCGACTCTTCGTGACCCCATGGACCAGAGCACGCCAGGCCCACCTATCTTCCACTGCATCCCGGAGTTGTGTCAAATTCATATTGGTTGCTTCGATGACACTGTCCAACCGTCTCATCCTCTGTCGTCCCCTTCTCCTCTTGCCTTCACACTTTCCTAACATCAAGGTCTTTTCCAAGGAGTCTTCTCTTCT